TACAGATCATATTAAGAACAAATAAACAACAAAAACATTGAAAAATAATAATATTTTTTTTAAAAAAAGCAATGGGAGCAACAGGAATGGGAAGCCTTGAAACCTGTTTTGGGCTAAAGCCATTGAGTTCTCTCAAAGTTTTGAGGTCTTACAAGGTTGGAAGTGTCAGACTATTTTGGATGTCTGGTTCAAAAACGAGAAAGCAGTAACATATAGATTGATTTTCATAGTTAATGTATAGACATTAACCGAGGTGGGATATTGGTTGTAAAATCTGACACATTCTGACAGGAGGAACCCACATCTAAAATGTCTGGGTTTTTGAAGAAGGAAGCAGACAGCAGCATTTAATAACAGAAATTTTAAACATCAAGAATAAGGAAAAAAAAAGATTTTTTTTCTCCTTCAGATGGTATGATATTTATTTTTTCTTAATGATAAAGACACATGTATTTGACAGTGTTTCTCATCACAAGAACAAAAGGTAAGAGCCACAATTTTGGATGATTTATTCAAAGAGGTCATTAAAAATTCTTGTCTTGCAGAATTTTATTTTTTAGATATAAAAAAGAAGTTCATAATTTGATATAGAATAGTATTAGCATTTTCAAATGCTGCTGGATTGAGAAATAGCTGCTTTTTGTTTGTCAGTTCAAGTATCCCTCTGGAAACAGCTGCAATATTTGAATTGTAATTCTAGTTGGCAGCAAAAACTGGTCACCATGTCAGAGCAGTTCTGACAGAGTAAATGACTGAAGGAGGAAACCTGCAGGGAAGTAATTTTATTTTTTTTTTAGAAAGAAGTAACTTTATATTTTTTTAGAAATGTTGGCTGAGTTTGCATCAGTGGGGTCCCATGGGTTCCCCTGGCCACCATCCCCATCTTTAAATAAGTAACAAGCTACCTCCAGTGACAAACACTTACCCATCACTGCTTCATCACTTCTGGACCACTGATGTATGAGCTGCTTCTGCCACCAGTGAAAGTTCACAATTTGTCAGCTCAAGAGCCTGTCCTTTGCTAATGGATTACTTTTGAAATGTCTGCTCTAAGTGGAAGGTTTCATTTATTTATTTATTTTTTTTTTCTAAAGAGGTGTACAAGCAACACACTGTTTGGGCTCTGCTTTCTTATAGTAGAGTCCCCAGCCTTAATCATTTGTCTTCCAGGTCTCCGCAGGAAAAGGCGATGAGGGTGTCAGTGCTCAGCCTGACCAGCCGAGTTCTTTTTTTCTCCCTGGAAGACCCTCTGAGGCATGGCAAGAGAACCATAGCAGGCTTGTGAGGATGATTCTAAAGCCACAGACTAAGGCATCCACTGGATGAGACATCATTGCCCTTCCAGAGACATCCTGAGCCCTGGCCCCCAGTGACAATTTCATCCTTTGCATCTCTTAGAATAAATAGTCCCTCCAGAAAAGTGCTGTGAAGAGCAACAAAAAGACACGACTGACACAGTTCAGGTACAATCGTATTTTAAGTCACAGGCAAATCACTTATACCCTTATTCATGAAAGGCTTTGAAATCCTTTTGAGGAATGCAGTGAGGACTTAGGCAAAGGGAAATACACTTAGTTAGCAAGACTCTGGGTGAAAGTTGGTGCTCCCTTTGTCACCTGTAGCAGGCAGGTGAAGAAAAGGGCCTCTAAAGTAAGCTGGCTCCCTGATGGACAGAGGAATAAGCACAGCTGCTGCTGGAGCATGCAGCCAGTTTAATCTTAGGGCCACAGAAAGAATGTGAATCTGAAACGTGGGAGGGGGTAGGAAGGAGGAGAAGCAGGATGGATGTCCAGGTCACAGAAATTTCTGTTGCAATACCATCCTCATCAAAGGCAAAGCACAGTGGTAAATAATGCAGATGAACAACTCCCTGAGCTCTTACAGGGCTTTACAAACTTCCACCAAAAAGAAACTTTTTACAAGTGAAACACTTATTTCATTTAAATATGTAGCCTGTATAATCAGAGCCTTTGAAGTAGGGAGACAGATGATCAGGATTTGCCTTTTGATCTTTCCAAATTGTTTTAGCAAGTAACAACTATGCCTGAAGTCTTTTCTGGGAAACTTTATTAGCAACGATGTTTACAACAATCTTAGAGACCAAGGTCTCTTAGTACTGCTGTTAAATAATCCTCCAGAAACTGAAATCTTACAAAGCAAACTCAGGGTCTACAAATAACATCATGAATTTCATGTAAATTCAGTTAAAATCCCCAATCAAAACAGCTACAGTTCTATTCAATGTTCTGTACATATTCACATAAAAAATATTCACAGGATGTGTTGGAGTCACACAGATCAGTCTTGTTCTCTGTTCAGCTACTTGTACCCAACTCAAGTCAATGGATCTTGCAAGAGAACCTCTAGCTCAGAGAACAGATCAGGCTCTGAACTAAGCTCAGGACTGACTTTATCAGTAAACCAGAGACAACTACAAAAGAGCAGCACAAGCTGCCTAGCTATAAGCTACAGCTGTTCCAGTGATTAGCATGAGTGCAATAATAATTTTTACCAAGGCAACTTGAAGAGGCTTCCCCTCTCTCCTTGGTGTCTGTTATAAAGGACTGTGCTCACATTTCACATTCTACACAACTCCTGAAATTAACAGGAACATTCACAGCCACTGCTTTTAGACAGCCCATGCACAGAAAGACACTGCGGTTTGAATAAATGAAACAGGATTTTTTTTACCTTTTATATTTTGTTCTGAAGACAAGGAAAACAAAATTACTTCAGGCAATCTTCCTAGCTGACGCTTATGCAGCAAAAAAAGGGAAAATAGCCCACTTGTAAAAATACAGTTATCATCTACATTTTATTGAGGAAAGCCTAAAACTAATTAACTGCTGTAACAGGAATGCAGGAATTATTTTAAAAGTTGTTTTTTTCCAAGCAATTTCTGGGTCAAATAAGAAAAAAAGAACAGTCCTGGGTTCTTCCCCCCCCCT